CACTGTTTATTATGATAACATCAAAAGTAGATGAAGCAAATAAAAGCTGAAAATCCAAAACAGGATTAAGCAAGATTAGCGATCATTAAGAGTAGAGTCATACAACTGGTTTCCTTTGTAGATGCTACCAGTTGTTTTGAAAGCCAGTATACTTAAAGAAAAATAGATCTTTAAAGATGTAAGAAAAATTTTATGATGCTTCCTTTGGTCCAGTTTTCCACCAAGCCCCCTGAAAATCCAGAAGGGACAGATCCTATGGAAAGAAGAACCACAGTTTGCAAACATTTCTCTTCCAGAATGCTGCAGTTTGGGATTCTGGTCTTTTTCTACAGGTTCCTGTACTGTCATGGAAGTAAGGAGAGGGTCTATGGTATGGTGTGGTATCTGGAGTAGGTTCAAAACTAAACATCCACTACATAAGAACTCACTGGACTGGAGGCAAGGTCTTTTCCAAAAGCTCCAGTCAAAGAATTGATTTTACAAAGTCTATTGACCCCTGCAACCAGCAGAAAACTAAGCAATTAAGATAATTAAATCCTTGCCAAAAACATGTGGGTTTTGGGCAGCAGGGGGGCTGCAGGAGTGGCTTCTGTGAGAAGATACCAGAAGCTGCCCCCATGTCAGACAGTTTTAGCTGGCTCCAAAGATGAACCAGCTGCTAGCCAAAGCTGAGCCCATCAGCAGCACTGGTTGTACCTCTGTGACAACATATTTAAGGAAGGGTAAAAAACACAGTGCAGCAGCTGTGACAGGAAGGAGAAAATGTGGGAGGAGCAACTATGCAGATACCAAGTTAGTGAAGGAGGAGGGGGAGGAGGTGCTCCAGGCACCGGAGCAGAGATTCGCCCATAGTGATGCAGGTTGTCCCCCTGCAGCCATGGAGGACCATGGTGGAGTAGAGATCCACACTGAAGCCCATGGAGGATCCCACACTGGAGCAGGCAGATGTGCCCTGAAGGAAGCCACTGCCCATGTAGAGCCCATACAGGAGCAGACTCCTGGCAGGAGCTGCAGCCCATGGAGAAGAGCCCACGCAGGGGCAGATTTTCTGGCAGGAACTGTGATCTGTGGGTGACCCATGCTGGAGCAGTACGTTCCTGAAGGACTGTACCCCACGAAAAGGACCCATGCTGGAGCAGTTCTTGAAGGACTGCAGCCCATGGGAAGGACCCATGTCGGAGAAGGTCGTGAAGGACTTTATGCTGTGGGAGGGACCCCATGCTGGAGCAGGGGAAAAGTGTGAGGAAGAAGGAGCAGCAGAGACATGTTATGAACTGATCACAACCCCCATCCCCCTGTATTGTTTGGGGGGAGGATGTAGAAGAGTCAGGAGTGAAGTTGAGCCTGGGAAGAAGGGAGGTGTAGGGAGGAAGGTGTTTTTAGTTTTATTTCTAACTATCCTACTCTGTTACAATTAATTGGCAATAAATAAAGTAATTTCCTCAAATTGAGTCTGTTTTGCCTGTGATGGTAATAGGTAAGTGAGCTCCCTGTCCTTATCTTGACCCATGAGAGCTTTTCATCATATTTTCTCCTCCCATCCTGTTGATAGAGGGGGAAGTGATATAGCGGCTTGGTGGGCACCTGGCAGCCAGCCAAGGTCAACCCACCACATGTCTGCTGCAGTTGCTCATCTCAAATGTTCCAGCCTGTAAAAAGATTCAGCCAGAGAATTGAGCACAGCTATTAGAGCAGCAGTCACTAAAATAGAATTTAAATCTTTTGTAAAGATAGAACTACATTGATTGGATATTGATAGCACAGTATCTAGAGTGTGAGCGTCACCTTGAAAGGGACACCATAAAATTAAAACAAGTGAAATCAGTAAAGGAAGTACTCCTATACGAAGGCAACAGTAAATGGGCAGATGCCTGAAATAAGAAGTACTTGAATGAACTCCTGGAAAAGAGGGAGTCTGCTCTCAAAACTTTTTTTTTCCCCCTCCCAAACATTCCGGGTCATATCTTCTTACAGTAATTCTCATTTATCATCCACACACACATTCACAGAATGACAAACTGGTGTAAGTAGACTAACTTCCTCCATATATGAAAAGCATTCGCATGGAAAACTCCTATGATGCAATTATTGCCATTTTCATTTATTTTGATGTGCTTTATCAGTGAGAACAAAAGCAGCTACTGTAGCTTAGCTACTCAGATCCTGGTATGACCCAGATTCAGATTTGATTGCTTGTCTTTGTCAGATCACTCTACAAAAATTTTAAAGTTTACAGAGACAATGGGAAATCTCAGCCAAATAAAATAAAAATAGAGGCATGGAAGCTATCCTAGCGCCAGCTTTCTCTGTTTTGTGTCCCAGCCACCCAGATCAGCCAGGACACTAAAAATATGTCTTGAATCAGCAGTGCTGTGTGTGAACTGTTCACTCAAGGAAACACATTGCCTGTGGAAGTTAGTGTAGTGGGCATCTATTACCTAGTTTTAAGGATGACACAACCATTTATGCTCTCCATTAAAGAAGAGCTCAAGAAATCTTGAAAAACTTGCTTAAAATACTGCATATCTCCCCAGCCTAGGCTTGAGGAGACAGAGGTGTGCATAACTATGCCAGAGAAGTCAGGTCCTCCATGCCGACCCACAGAGTTGGGGCACCATACATACTAGACCTCTCATCTAAAACTCCTTAAGCAGAGGTAGACCTCAAATCCTTAAGATGAAAAATATCACACAAACAGCAAAATTATAAGCACTTCCACATATTTAATAAACCCAGATTTACTCAGATCTTTCACAGCTATTCCAGAAAGTCTTGGAAAGACTGATATGGAAAAAAGCAAAACATTATACAAAATCTCTCACGTTCCCCAGGACCTCCATCACCACCACAATGTTAAGTTTCCTCTCTTGCCCACAGAGCAGTCACTGTCTACGCAAACGGGAGCAACAACAACAGAATAAATTAGGAAACCCACCAGAAGAGTCAACAGCTTGGTAGTGTCCATCATGGGAGAGCAACACTCAGGTACCCACCCCAACCAAGGCATCTCATTATGTATCACAGCCACCCTCCCTGGTAATGAATCCTATCCTTGAGGTCAGAAACCCAATGTAAAAGTTCAGAAATTCCTTCAACAAGTTACAGTTTTGGCAAATCAAATGAAAAAAAATATACACATATATTGGCTGGCACAATCCACTGTAAAGACCCTCCACCGCTCACAGCTTCATACATCTTCCTTAAGTAGTTAACATGATTACTGATTTGATCAAATAGCTTCCAGGCTCCAACACACCAAGCTTTGTATATACATGGGAAACAAAAACATTTATTTTCCCAAAATAAAAACAGAAGCAATGATCTGGGTTTTTTTTCACTTCAGGGGATTTGCCAGGACTCCAAGAACAAGCCCCAGGAACTTGGAAGCTCACTCAGAGATGCCCCAGACTGCAGGTGCCTCAGGCTATGGAGCACTCATAGCTGCCTCAGACAGGAAACCAAGCAGGTTTCAGTGGCCCTTAAGCATAGTTCTGTCAGGTTTTATCAAAATAAAAAGTTCTTCCTGAGTAGCTTTTTGGTTTTGATGATTTGGTAAGATAAGAGTTTTGTCTGGAAAAAAATCCAATTATATTGATGGATAATATTTGGAATTTATACTACAGGACCGTACTTGTCCTGGGCAGGGTGGGGGGAGGGAAATAATGCCTTCTGTCTTTCTTCACCCTTTCCACATTCCCTTTAATATCATATCATGGGGTCCCCATTTCAACCCCCTTTCTTCCCTTTCCATGTTCCTCACACTGTCTCATGCCAGAGACCTCTGTGTCTGAGAAATTGTGTCTTTCCATTTAACCCATCTTCTTACACACGCAAGCTTGTGGGCCCCTTGTTCTACTCTTTACAGCACTTCTCCCAAGGTCTTCTTATATAAAGACCCTCTCAGAAGCCACCAGGATAACACCCCACTGCATCTTCTCTGTGTGCTCCTTTCTTTCACCCCACAGTAGATGCTAAATATATTCACAATTCCTTCTTCTCCCCTTCTGCCAGGGCTCCCCTCTCTCCCCTCATACTTGAGGCTCTTGAACATTCCCCTTCTAACTATCCCTCCCACTTACCCCTCCAAGTTCGCTATCAACAGTAAACACTAATTATGAAAAAAAAAACCTGTTAACCCACTGAAGCAAAGTTGTGTGTCAGAGCAGCTGCTGTAGTTTGACCTGAAAGCAGTTTCCAGGAACATGCTGGGAGAAAAAACAATTGCATGTCAGACTAGCCTGATGAGAGAGCAGGAGCAAGGCATCACACATCCTCCCAGTCCCAGCCTGCAAGTTTTAGGTTATGCAACGCTCTGCATGAAGCACCAGGGAAAGGGAGAGACGACCTGACAGCAAAACAGTCATAATCAAGGAAGCGGGAATATTCTTTTTACAGATTCAGCCAATATATTATTCTCTTCCTCTTCCCCCCTTAAAAGCAGACGAGTTTTAATGGGTCATTCCTCCTAGTGGTTTCCTGTTCAGCTACTAAGTCCAGAGGCTCAGAAGCCTAACAGAAGAGGGAAGAAGTGCTAGTGTCTTATATAGCTCTCCACCATGAGATCTGCTTACCTGTTTTGGATTTTTTTTTTTTTCTTCTTACTGCATTGACTCAGAGCTCTGGGCTTCTTTCTTTTTAAGTGTTCCCACCACCAAACCACAGCCTTTTGTAGATACAGCGATTGCCAGTTTCACTATACTCAGAACAGCACTTCCGACCGAGCCAAAAAAACTACGTGTAGGTGTTGCTCGCTTGTAGGCAAATTGTTTACAACTCACTCAGGTTTTTTGGATCAATGGAAAGAAGGAGCAGTAAATCTGCTTTCTGAGTTAGAGTGAGTGAGCAATGAAATGGGTACATTGCCCTAGCTTTAACAAGACAAAAAAAACCACCAAGCCACTAACAATCATTTAATGCATGACAAGCTTGATGTGTCATCTGCCCCTGTCTACGGCAACAGTCTCCTAGAAGAAAGAGACAAAATAGAAAGAAATACTCACGCATGTCACCAATCGCTCCTTTTGTGACATTTGTGGCTTTCCTTACTGTCACAGTAAATACGTGTGAATACTGGTGTTCCACCTGGAAGTCAGAGAGTTAGAGGTGATTAAGCTCCAGAACCAAAAACCACTTATCAAAATAGGTTTCATTTTGTCCAAAAACTGAGAGAGAGAAATCACCCAGTCAAAACGTAAGTGAAACTCATACTGGATAGAGCATCTTAAAGCTGAACTGCACCCTGTAGTTTTACTGAAAGGTCAGACCTTATACTAGGGTTGCTTGATTTTCCTGCAGCCACACCTACTAATCTCAATGAATATCACTCCTCCTCTCTACAGAACCTGCTTTAAGGCATTTAGTCAGTCAGGGACAACTTGGTACGGTAAGAAAAAAAATAAAAAGGGAGTTATTTTACAGTGTGCTTGTCTTTGTAATTACCTTCCCCCAGTAAAAAGAATGGGTGCAATTATTTCAAAGTATACGTTCTGGAACAGATATATGCATACTGCACATACAAGGGATATAGTTAGTAATGGATGGAATATACCTTTTTAGTACACATCAATATTCAAAGTGCAAGTGTCCTTAAGACAATGGAGGGAAGGTGAAAAGCAAGCTTGTTAAGCCATTCACAAGCAAATTTCATGCAGTTTCTGGAGCTTCCCGTTTCCTGCAAAGCCCAAGCACAAAGCAGGAGCTGCCTTTCTAAGACCAGGTCTGTTCTGAATGAACTAGAGAAGTAGAAAAAGGCATGAAATTAAGAAACAAAAGTAAAAACCCCAATGAAAAGAGGTCAGTAACTCACATCTATTGTTACTTTATCTACATAGCCATAAGTTTCACCCACCTACTGAATACCATTATCAGAATCACCACTGCATATTGCAAGGCACACAACATCGGCCTTTACAGGGACACAGTACAGAGCTTGTGGGTAAGTTTTAAGTTTTATGTATTAGAGCTAGGATCAGGTCTCACACAATTGCCTCTCAGCACTTACATCTACACTTCTATCTTAAAGCCAGTCTTAAGACACTCGAGCTGTCTGACTGCCAACAGTGCCTAGACATTGACTCAAGTGCTGGTACAACCAGGAGGGCGCCAGCTCGCTCTCCTGCAACAGAAGGTTGGGCACCGGGAGGGGACCACCTCACACCTGAGCTCTGTCTCTACAAAGAGCAGCAGGTCCAAGCTGCCTGGCTCTTACAGCTCAAGCCACTGTATCAAAAGTGTACCTCCTGTGGGACCTCAGGTAGTCACCACCTATCATATACAGTGACACACCTCTACCTCAGGTTTCCATTTCTAAAACTGAAACAGGGATATTTTCTATATTTTCCTAACCACCCACTAACTTTGTGAAATACATTAAAATAAACACTGCATATCAGGCATTAGGACCAAAACAACTACCCAAATATTAAAAGCCTTACAACATATTCCAATCAGAAGGAAAAGGGGGAAGTACAGAATCAGGAAATTCACTGATGTTTATTTAAAATGATAGACAATACCCTTGATATGGGACATGGGACACGCTTATTCAGGCTGTGTCTGGTGTTTTCCTGCTATGTTCTCATCTGGATACTTCCCTTTTTTTTAAAAAAAAAACCCTCCTTTTTAAAGGAACAAACAGATAAGTCAGCAAAACCCTTCAATCCATACGTGGCTTAGTTTTCAACAGTGGCACATGCCTCAATTTAAGCTACTGCTGCTTCAGCTGCTAGACTTTATAAAGGCCTTCAGGTGGTTCTCAACTATTTCAGAACTGGATGCTTCAGTCAAGCCTCATTATTTCACATCTACAACACATACCCAGAGACTAGAACCAAACTGGATCCCTCTAATACAAATAAACAAAAAAAATGATAGTTTCTTATAGGTTATGTATCATTTTCTCAAAAAAAGAAAAAAGCCAAAACCAATCTTCTAAAGACAGCAAAAGTGGCTTGTGAATGCTTAAGTAGCAGTTGAGTCAGGACACATTAAAAAACAATGCAAATGATACCAACAAACTCCTCCACAAGTCTGTAGTCTGTAGAGGTCTGCAAAGGCATAGCCACATCACCATGGCAAAATATCTAGGAGAAAATGCCCACAGTGATACTGAGGGTATGACTTCACTACAGACACTAGCTGACCCAGACACTGAATTGTTGCATCTTTATTAAGGCTGTAATCACCCACATGTTGTGACGACTGCTGAGGCTCATTTCATGATGGTCTGCCCAGCAATAAATTTCAACTCTGTAATTTTTCCCCTGTAAGCTGTAGGAGTTGTCTGGTTCAAAGAACAAGTAAGCAGGCAGGGGGAAAACTGTGGCAATGTAAACCGTTACCTTACAAGTGGTATACTGAAATTGTCATTGCACAGCAAGTGGTTCACCAACCACAGTAAAAATGGAATCCAGACTCTAATCAATTCTCCTAGCCGGGACTGTTAACTCACCTCAAAAGCATCAAACACAACAGAAAGGGTTTAGATGTGGGAACTCAAAGTTGTTAAGAAGCAACACCTATTTAACAGCCTGCCTTATGCTGACATGAAGACATACTAATGATTTTGTGACATCCACCACCTTTTGCATTGCAGCTTCCAAGAGTGGATGGATGAATGGGAAGGAGGATGGCACTTCTCCCTGAACAAACTTCTGCCTCTGCCACGTGGCAAAAAAAGGCCCAGAGTTTTCCATCACAGCAGAGTGAACAGGGATTTTAGCAGGTATCTGAGAACAGCTGGTACTACTGTGAACATAGCTATATAAAAGTTACCCCAGCTCTGTCATTTACCCTACTTCAAGAATTTTTACAAGCTGTGAATCTGCAGAAAACAACTCTCACTGTCTCTTATTTTCAGTTTGCATCTTGAAAGTGCTCGAAACTGTTTTATCAGTGTGTGCCACCTTCACACGCACATCAGATCGCTGAAGTGTCAGTTTCACAATGCAGCACTGGCCCCAGAGTTTGTTCACACAGGCTGATGTAGTTCCTTTGTCATATACAACCTTGTAATTAAGAGAAACAGCCCAAAGCACAAACACACCACCCTTATTCTTAGCTGTTAAGAAAGAGCCTGTCCTCACTAGAGACCACAAATCAGAGATCACTGAACATTTAGGAACAAAGAGGAGGATGGAGATATAATTAAGTAACAAACATGGGACATGGGATTTAGTTCTCAGCTGCTATGTGGAACTCGTGTGCAATTCTGGTGCCCCAGAATCCTGGCTGTAAAATGGGGATACTACAAGATGCTCACTGACAAAAAGCACTTCTGCAAAGTAATTTTCTGGCATCTCCTCGTCCTACTCACGAAACTCATATGCCTAAGTAAAATGCCTACCATCAAAACAAGGCCAAACCACCACTTACCATTCTCATTACAGCAGTATAGAGACCATCTTTACTTTCTATTACAAGTCGATAACTGCTTTGCTAATACTATCGTGAGAACTGCTTTTTATTGACTTAAGCAGCAAACCCTGTCATTCCAGCTGTTGTTCTGCCAAGAAAGTTAAGTCTGGTTTAAGATCTGGTATCCTCTGAAATGAATGCGAGCACACAGAGGTCTGGCAAAACAGAAAAACATTATCTTCTTTCCCCACATCTCACCCAAAATAACACACTGAGGCTTATAATTATAGAGTTATTAATATTTGGACATAATCACATGCTTGGAAGAAATTTGCAACTACTAAAATAAACGAACTCTCTCTTAGTCAAAAAAAATACACAGAGATACACAAGAAGCTCAGAAGTCTAGATATTTTCTTACCTCAAAATAAACATTTTTTATGCAACTTAAGTGCAATCGGAAATTAAGGCAATTTTCCACTTAGGATCCAGTTTCTAAGGGTATTAAGAGGCCTAAATGTCCATATTAATAGCTAGCACAACTTTCAGAAGCATTTTTTGGGTTAGTTTTTTGAAAGACTGAGTTCTAAAGAAGTTAGCTGCCCCCTGAAAATACCACAAGAAATGGACTCTGAATATCTTTATAAATCCAGCCCTTGCTAGTTTAGATGACTAAGCTGCATTTTCTAAAGTGACTTATGTTCACCTTAAGTCTTGATAAAAATCTGTACATTGCCAAGTCCTCAATTACTTCTGAAAAACAGACGATGGTATATAAGTCACTTAAACGTTGCAACACTGAGTGGAGTAACTTCTGCATACCTTTAAAAATCTAGGCCAGGTTAAAAATTTCAGAAGCTCACAATTAACTCAAAAACCTAAATCCTATCATCCAAAGTGACCTAGCTTTACATACGTGTTTCATTTCACTTCCTCCTTCTCCATAAATTTAGAGAAGAAAGAAGAAAAAAAGAAGTTTCAATATGCCCTCTCTGAACATGGGTTTTCTGAATTACAGAAACTCCTGTGGACAGTATTCACTCTCTACTGGTTCAATGCACAAGGTTTTCCAAGCATCACGCACAGCCATCGTTCAATATCTCCTGTTCTCACACCACAGCTCTCCATTTCTTCTAACTCCTCCTCCTGCCTCCTTTGTTCCTCTCCCACCTTTGGCTGCTTTTTTCCCTCCCAGTAAAATTTCCCGAATTATCTGATTTCCTCTATTTTACATATCACTGCATTTGTATGTACATAAACACCATTACCTTCCCACTACGGGACTGGGAAACAGAACAACATGCTAAGATCTCCTGTAACACAATCAGGTTTTACCTACGAACTTTCCGCACTTACTGAGAAAGCAAGGGATTTGCATGCATTGAATATAATATTTTTCATATCCCAGAATGCCAAGTCACAAAATGTAACTCAGTCAGGAGATATACCTGCACACGAAATACGAAACAGGAAGCCCTGGTATAGACAGACTGTGTAATAAGTATTTATTACTTTTACTTCCTTAACATTAAGGACACTTGAGCTAACGATTGGCCTGGACAAATGAAAATGTTTGCCTGTTTTCTTAAGTAACAGACTTTCATAAAGTCCATGCTCTTCTTTCACAGGGTATTACAATTAAGACAAACATTTGTGCATACGCACACACCACAAATTTTATCTTGAAGTGATTTTTCCCATTGTTATAATATTTATCCCCCATATCAGTGTAACTGAGTATGTATTACGCATCTTAATTCTTTATTCTCTGAATCTAAAAAGCATTTTTGGTACAGTCAGTGCTGTCTGTACCTGCAATAACTTTGTGAATGCCTTATTTTATTCCTCCAAGTCTTGCATAAAATGAGGAAAAAAAAAAAGAAAAATAACTATTATGTGTTTTCCGATCTCTTTAACAGTAGGACTTTTGGAAAATGCAGAATTCTTTTGAGTCTTTTCATGCCAAGTGTCATTAAAAATTCATGATTTTTGCATTGATATGAGCTTGCTACCTTGACTGTTCTGAATTTTAGTAAAACTTTCCATGCAATTTCATTTTTGCATGAAACCTCAAAGATTTCTGTTCACTTTTCAAGCAATTACAGGATCAGCTCTTGCATTAACAGTGTTCGTCCTGCATTAGCAACATTCCCACAGCAGTTCAGCATTGCCAGAGGACTGCAACTACGTATACTTCTAAGGCTCCATTTTGTTCATTATAGTATATATTGGTATCAAAAAAGATCTTTTGTGTGAATGATTCAATGAAATATAACTGAGTGCCTCAGAGACCTCTCCCATAAAGGTACAGATCAGATCAAGCATTCCATCCAGGAGAGGGCACTGATGCAGAAAGGAGTAAGTTAATGTATTGTTTTAACATTGTTAAATACAGACATCAACCTGAAACTTGTCTTTACAGCAGTGTTCACAGAACTACAGAGTGAGTAAAACACAAGTTTGACATCTGCTGGCTGCAAACTCATGTAAAGGATGTGACTGCGTGGGGTAGAAACCACATAATTGATAAGGGATCATTTCAAGGAAGCATATGCTGTATTTTTAGCAATGTAAAAGTTCAACATTATGACAAGCGTATGGTAACTATCTTTGAGTACATATCACTTTTCCTGCCATGAGATTCTGGGACTGTTACAAGAAGTGCTTGATATGAACACACCCAGCTTGTTGCAAGATTTCAGTTTGAGCAGGAATTGCAATTTCAGTGTTTACTTTGGACAGTCACTCAAGCAAAGATATGTGTGAATATTACAGCTGAAAGCCAGCGTTCAACAAGCTGCTGAGCCACTCCACTGGCTTGCCACACAATGGGCAGTTCTGCTCCCTTTTCCCTTCCCCTCCTTCCCTTGCCCCTACTTCTCTACTTATACAGGTTGTGCTCACATGGTTGTACCCTTGGGCCAGCTCTGACAGCAGAGAACTAATATCTTTTACATTGAACTGTTTTTCTGCCAATTCAGCAAGGTCATTTGGCTCACTCCAATCAGATACATTTGAGAGCTGGTACCAGGGATGCAGCAGGAACACTGGAATAAAGCAGGAAGGAGGGAGCAGGAGCTTCTGGCAGCAGTGTGTTGTTGAATGGCACAGATCATTCCACTGACCTTTACCTACAGTTTGCAGGCTGTATTTTGAAGATTCTCTTTGAATCAACATCACTGATACACACTGGTTTAAGATCTAAATATCCCAAATTGCCAACTTATCCCTCTATCCATACTGATGAAAAGGGAAAAGAGTTATTCCATAACTAGAATTGTACACCCAAAAAAAAATTGTACTGTAAGGGAGAAAGTTACACATGTGATGTTACTTTTGTCAAACTGAACTGTAGTCTGCAATCAGTGTGTGGAAAAACTTGTATGAAATAGTCAACAACAGGCACTTTGATGAAACACTTTGAACAGGCAGGTCCTTTAGAACGATACCCTATGACATCATACCCATGAAGTTGTTAGGAGCCCATATTCCATTTTGACTTACACATCAGCAACTACACTCAAAGCCGTGACATGCTTTCGAAAAGCTAACTAGAATCTTTCAGAAATTTATTTGAATGAAATTTGAAGAAGTCTGCTCTAACCATGCTTACCATTTGTTTAAGGAATTAATGATAACTCTAATGGTGTGTGCTTATTTAGGGTAACTTCTAATAGGATACATTATACGAGACAGTATATACTATACAAGACAGTATACATAGAAGATTCAAAGCTACTTACCACGATGTGTTGATAAGGATCTATGACAGACATTTTTGCCTTAGTTTTTATTCAATACAACTGTCAAAAGTCTACTTCAGTTCTACACGGAAGAGGCTTCCCAGTTTTTCAAAGCAGAGTTCAGTATGACAGATCCTTTACCTATTAAGTAACAAAAAAAATATAATTAAAATTCTTATGTTCCTTTTAAACTGTATTTTGTAACAGAGCAAATGAGTTCCTCCACTTTAGGATGGTTCCCACAATTCATTTGTTTACCAAGAACTTAATTTCGTATGAGCTATGGAAGTATAGATATTTACTTGCCTGAACTAGAGAAACTTCTTGTGCTTATTTCCTCTACCTCAGGGTAAGAGCACAAACCAAATATCTTGAATTCCAGTCATCCAAGTGTTTCTAGCAGCTCTACAGATAAACAAAAGAATAGAGCAATTATATTTATCTATTACATACATTCAAATGTATATGCTTCCATGCATTACAATACTAGTTAATAGACTTTTTACTATAGTGACAAATTCTTGGTTCCCATGCTTTGCTTCTATATTACAATGCTCACATGGTCAGGACAGAACAGAGGTGAAGTTCCTCTTTGTATCCTCCTCCCCTGTACAAGGTGAGGTACAACGATACATCCTGCACTCACACCAATGGACGTGAATTTTACCAATGGATGTGAATTTTAGAACTGAAAAGCCAGTTGGAGAGCACAAGCACAATAGTCAGCAACTCGCACCAGACAACTGCAACCCTTTGTAGTAAGGGTCTGTTTAGCCATTTTAACACAGCTTTTCATACCACCTTCACTTTGAAAGCTTTTTCCACAAACAGCAAATTCCCGAAGTTGCACCTAAGAAAATAACAGAAAACAAATTCCAGCCTCTAATCTGCACCAACAGCACAGGCGAATTAATTCGGCAGCTTCTCATTTAACTATAAACAAGCAGCAATAGTGCCCTCTGTAAACCTGGGAAGGGAATTCCAGCTGAAGTTGTGTATGGCCGCATACACATCCCTGGCCACCCCAGATGTCTGGAGATCCACAAGAGGCTTTGATGGGCAAACTGCAAACCAGCTGGCAGGATTTAAATGGGTTCTTCATAGGCCACTGTTCTCTGAACACTTTGTGAAGATTTCTACTGAAATCAGGGGCCACCAGAGCCCTTAAACTTCAGAACCGTTTCCAATCAAAGTAAAATATACTAAGAGAGGTAATTCCTTTCTGCGTCTCTCAAAAAAAATGGAAACTGCTGGACAGGATCAGTTCTCAGATTCA